CTCCACCGTCTCCTCCAGTCGCGTCTGAGCATCTCGCAGCTCCTGCAGCTCCTGCAGCAACATGTCCAGGCTGCCGCTGTGGCCCCGTTCTAGTGTGTTTCCTCTGGAGCTGGGCGGGCCCCCGGGGGCCCCCGTCACGCTGTTGGCTCCCACCGATCCCGAGGTCGCACTCGAACAGTCCTCATCGCTGCCGAACTTGGGGCTGGACTGCAGGTGTCCGCCGGCGGATCCCAGAGAGCGTCCAGCAGCGGCCACACCGTCCTCGGCATCCTCTGGCCCGTCCTTCAGCACGCTGATGTTATCAGCACTCCTCTGGAGCGGGGCGGGCCCCCGGGGGCCCCCGTCACGCTGTTGGCTCCCACCGATCCCGAGGTCGCACTCGAACAGTCCTCATCGCTGCCGAACTTGGGGCTGGACTGCAGGTGTCCGCCGGCGGATCCCAGAGAGCGTCCAGCAGCGGCCACACCGTCCTCGGCATCCTCTGGCCCGTCCTTCAGCACGCTGATGTTATCAGCACTGCCGAAGCGGTGGCGGATCAGTGAGGCGATCTCACGAGGTTTGGAGGCCACGGCCCCGGCAGCCGAGTGCGTGACGTGGGAGAAACTGGACAGTCCGCCCTTGACGCTGTCCACCACCCCCTCGCTGAGGCCCGTGATGACCCTGGCGCCCACATCTCGCAGGCCCTGCTGCATGTCCCGCAGCATGTCTTTGGGCTGCCGCTGCACGCCGCTGTGCTCCACCTCACGCAGACGCCGGTGGTAATGCTCCAGCTTACGCTGCAGCTGGGCGATGCTCGCCGCAGACTTCTGGTTCTTCTTCTCAAACACCTGAAGATGGAGACAATGTGGGGGTGTGTGGAAGAGCAAGGGAGAGAGGAAATCAAAACATGAACGAGGAAGCAGATTAAGAGATGAAGGGATAGTGAAGGACTTTATGAGGCATTTCTAGCCTGTGTCTAACTGCATCAAGAATTAGCCAACTCTCGCTGCTCCACCGTCTCCTCCAGTCGCGTCTGAGCATCTCGCAGCTCCTGCAGCTCCTGCAGCAACATGTCCAGGCTGCCGCTGTGGCCCCGTTCTAGTGTGTTTCCTCTGGAGCTGGGCGGGCCCCCGGGGGCCCCCGTCACGCTGTTGGCTCCCACCGATCCCGAGGTCGCACTCGAACAGTCCTCATCGCTGCCGAACTTGGGGCTGGACTGCAGGTGTCCGCCGGCGGATCCCAGAGAGCGTCCAGCAGCGGCCACACCGTCCTCGGCATCCTCTGGCCCGTCCTTCAGCACGCTGATGTTATCAGCACTGCCGAAGCGGTGGCGGATCAGTGAGGCGATCTCACGAGGTTTGGAGGCCACGGCCCCGGCGGCCGAGTGCGTGACGTGGGAGAAACTGGACAGTCCGCCCTTGACGCTGTCCACCACCCCCTCGCTGAGGCCCGTGATGACCCTGGCGCCCACATCTCGCAGGCCCTGCTGCATGTCCCGCAGCATGTCTTTGGGCTGCCGCTGCACGCCGCTGTGCTCCACCTCACGCAGACGCCGGTGGTAATGCTCCAGCTTACGCTGCAGCTGGGCGATGCTCGCCGCAGACTTCTGGTTCTTCTTCTCAAACACCTGAAGATGGAGACAATGTGGGGGTGTGTGGAAGAGCAAGGGAGAGAGGAAATCAAAACATGAACGAGGAAGCAGATTAAGAGATGAAGGGATAGTGAAGGACTTTATGAGGCATTTCTAGCCTGTGTCTAACTGCATCAAGAATTAGCCAACTCTCGCTGAAAACAGATGAGCTCCAGTCACTGTAGTGCAGCTGTCAGTCTGAACACTCCTTAAGAGTAAAGCCCAAACTGTACTTTGGTTTTTATGCGTACAGTGTGCATGACATGAATTTAGCCATCAGCACAGTGAGTGCACAGCCTGATTTTTCTAAGCACACATACACACCTGCTTTGATTTTTTTTTGCACTAATTAGTTTGGCCACAAGGTGGCAATATTGGCCCAAGGCTGTTGTTTCACAGTTGCTTAAAGTCACAAAGTAGTGAGGTACATCTGAATCCCTGTATCCCCATGTTCATACTATCCATCCTAAATAGTAAGCGAGATTAGAATTAGTGTGTCCTAAAGCATAGTATGTTGAAAAGAGTATGCCAGAAGTCCCCGGATGGTCTACTATTTCAGGTAGATTTTTGAAGTGTGGATCCCTGCACACTCTAAAAGCTAATATTACCCACAATCCATTGCGCTTTGGCGAAGGTTTTGGTTCAGAACTACAAATACGAATAAAAAAGCATTAAAAACTACAAACATGGTGGATGTGCGCGACCGACAAAGGGGTTTGAGTTACTAATAATCAACATTTAAACTGGTAAAAATATTTAGTTAATGTTATTGGTGTTATATTTCATCTGCAACAACAATGTGAACTTCTGTTTGGCCATTAACATTATTATGTAAAAAATCTGAGCAGAGATCTCCGTATGAAGACCTACGGATGGCAGATCAACGCGCCACTTCTTTTCTCTCTAATACGGTTGGAAGTTAAATGAAATGCAATGTAGAGGATGTGAACTGTGACAAGATGATTGACAGGCCAGTTTACAGTGACAGGGTGCGTGTAACTGTGCGACCGTTAAAGACGCAGTTGTGTGACGTGATAGTTTGTAAAGCTTGCCTACTCTTCTACTACACACTCAGAAGTGTGTACTTTTTCCTCACCAAAAGAGTAGATACTTTAAGGGTGTAGTATAAGTAGGCACATTGGGACGCAGCAAATATGACAGATTTACAGAAAAAGATAAATGCAGGGCGGGACTTGGTTGTATGCATCAGTTGTTGATTGGTTGGTAAGATGTGGGCGTGGCTCTCAGATGAGCCTGAGCTTGTAGGGCTGGAGCCTCAGAGGACTAAATGATTGGAGAAGTCCTGCATATGTCACTTCACTAGATAAACCAACTAGACATTTTGATTAAACATTACCAGATCAACATATTTTTAAAAATAAAACGTGCACAGATGAATTGTTCACAAAAAGGTCTATACCACACATTTGCCAAATACATAGGGTGAATATTAATTTCATGCTGACTTAAATTGTCATGAAAACCATGTCAAAATTTAAAATAATAATAATACTGGTACGAATACAAGATTCATGTTCATGCTGAATATTATTTCTAGTTGTCTTCAGACATGTTTTGAAGATGCATACATGCAGAGATAAAAAGACAGCAGGCTGGTTCATGTGTAAGATACAGTGAAAGCGTGAGATGATACCTGTTTGATGCGGGAGCTCTGCTGTTTGTCGCTGGCATTGCTGGCCAGTTTGAGGTACTCGGCCACATTCTCGTCGCGGGCCGCCTGCTCGATGCGCAGCTGCTCGGTGAGCTTCAGGATCTTCTGCTGCAGCTGTGCGATGGCCTGCCGTGTGCGCTGGGGGTCCAGCCCGCCGTCCTCCGAGCCCAGCAGCGAACCGTCAGCCCTGCACGCCGCCGCCAGACCGCCCTCCAGCCTCTCGATCTGGAGAAACACAGAGAAGAGGGAGGGACACACAAGAGAAGTCATGTCACTTCTTGGAAAATAGGTCTTTCCGTGTCTTTCTGCTGACACAATGAAGCAATCGCCCGCTTCTGCAATCGGCATGCATGCAGACGGAGACTATTAAAGGTCAACATCTCCATCAGACACACGCACACGTCTAAGAGACCACAGTGCCTCGTTTTTTGTGATGTACATTTGCTGAAAACCAGTCTTAGTATCTTGAACCCAGTAAATTGAACCTGTTTAAAGGATGTTTCAACACTTTTTACAGGGAAAATCAAGACAAAGATACTCCTATCTCACACTGGAAAAAAGCATATTTGCAGCAATACACGCATGTGTAGACCTGATAGTTAAACAGTCAGTTCAGACAGAATGAGCTGAATATTGAGGTCAGCACAGTCCTGTCTGATCATCATCTAGTCCAGCTCTGTCAGACAGCAGTGTTAAATCTGACCTATATATCAGCAATGATAACTGCATTAAACAAACAAGGGCTTTGTTAAAAGATCGTAACCACTCACTTTTTGAATGAATGTTAAATGATAAGCATGAGGTAATGTAATATTGTTCATGTTTTGTTATTATACCGATGCAGAGGAACATGGTCGTATTGAGAGTTGGAAGCCTGCACTAAAATGACATTCAGTCAAATAGCTCCGATCTTACTCGAGCACAGCAGGGAGTGAGTCAACCGGACGTGAAGGGAAACATGTTCAAGAGCGGAGGCTGAAATGACACAATGTTGCATGATCTCAGACCAGACTCCGTCTTTAGAGCGTTATAACGGGTTATAATGTGTGTAATGTAAGGAGACAGAGCAGAGCCCTCACTCACTCACTCACCTTCCCGCTCCTCGCTCGCAGCAGCTGCTCCCAGTGCATCTCTTCATCGAGAGCTCGCCGGTTTCTCTCTCCTGAACTTCACTAACTCGTTTGGAAATCTCACCGGCAGCTGAACTCGAGCTCGAGCTCCTCCCGCGTGCAGCTCTGAACATGACGTCATCCCTAAAAGCAATGCTGGTCACGATCGCCGCTCGAACTGAACCCAGCAACGACTGCTCAATTCAAACGGATCCGTATGTTGATTTATTCTTAAGGCTCTGTGTGGTTACTGCTGTTGCGATATTGAATAATTGTACATAGATGAATTTATTCAGTGTGAACAACTGGCTTCAGTGAAGGAAACATTCAGTCTTGTCTCTCGCTTGTGTTCTCGGAACGGGCTCACTTTTCAAATAAATAAATAATAACAGAGAATGCTTGGAGAATATGGATTCATTAGAAATTCTTAATATACAGGAAAATGCAGATTATAATATTCAACGATATTTCAACATGGGAGCCCTGTTTCAGTCAGTCATTTCAAACAGAATGCATGATTCTAGAAATGAGTATAACAGCACGTTTAAAAATAAAAAAGCATAGGATGTCATTAAATGAAAACCTACATGAACACCATTTGGCCAAATATACAAAATGTACTTCTTTTTTTAAATCTTTGAATAAAAAGTAATGAATTAAAAAAAAATAACTTTTATGCATCTGCTATTTTAACTTTTTTTTTTTTTTTTTACATGTGAATTAGCCCACCACAGTATAACAAAGTGTTAATAAAGCCATACTAAAATAACCTTTTGCAGAGTAATTCTCTAAAAACAACAGTATGAAGTTGCATTGCATAAAGCTTCTAATGACACAAGACCATGATTCATGCACTGATTTGACCAGACAGCAGCAGATTTCTCAGTCTATGGCAACACTATCTGTTTACAGTCCAGCACAAATCAGCTCACAATATTTGTGAGGTCTGTAATCTGCAGAGATAGAGCAGGCTGAAGGAATGGGTGATTGAGGACAAACCCACAAACCCAGAGAGACTGACCGGTTCTGCCATAAAGCCTTAATACATCGCTCCTTATCAAATACATAAATACATGGACATTAAATATTTGAGTTTTGATTCAATGGTTTTTATTATATTCGTATTATGTGAGAGACTCTCAGAGTTTATGGTAGGCCTGCCATGAAAAGTTTATATTTTATAGTCTTAACCCTTGTGCGACCTTTTGGACATTTTTGTCCTTTTCAGTTTCGTTTTTTTGATCATTCTGCCTGTGTTATTGCCAACTGCATAAATGTTGGCACAGGTGTGTATTTTTATTGGAATTTTACTACAGTAAGATTTTGTTTGGGCGCAGTACCAAATTTTCCCCATTAGATGCCAGCAAAACGTCTCAGGTTACTTATGTAACCATGGTTCCCTGAGTAGGGAACGAGACACTGCATCCTCTAGGGGGCGCTATGGGGAACGCCTCGTCGTGACCCGTGTCTGAAGCATACATTGAAAACACCGACAACACGTTGGCCGGCGACAGCCCATGACGTCCCTACCGGTGTGACTATTAGTATAAATAGGCGCCGGGAGAACATGTCATTCTCTTCTTCGTCTTCACTGACCGTTCTCCTTGCCATCTAAGCCCCTTCAGGATACATCGCGCTTAAATGGCAGGGCATACGCAACAGCAGGTCAGGCTGTGGCTTCGTTGCACACTATGATTGTCCACTATGGACCTATGTGTAACCATTTTTTAATTGACGCACAAGGGTTAATAAAACAAAAAATGCTGAAGATGATTTTCACGTCCAGAAGCCTGCGGATGTGCTCTGTTTAAGTCAAGTCACCTTTATTTATATAGCGCCAGTGTATGTGCAGTAAGCCTGATCCGCAGGCACGTGCACTCCAGCAGCACGCTTCTTATACGACACAAAGAACACACCTATACCTGCCCAAAACAACAGCCTTCTGTCAGAGCGCTTTCAGCCACATATCACTTCAGTCGAAAGTCAAACTAAAAGGACACGGATAACAGTGTGGAAACAGGACTTGGTTACAGTTATTCACTGACTGTACGCTTTGCCCTTTTTAAAGACATTTTCTGCTGGCTTTGTGGTAAAATCTGTAGAACTCTGAGCAGTGAATTTAAAAACTAGTCGAATGTGCTGAACAGAGCTGAGCACTGCTATAGTAGCTGAAAGCAGGAGTCAAATGATTCATAAATGAAGACATAGGGAGCAGGGCATTTGTGATGTGAACGACGACGAGCGTTTCAATTCTGCTGATTCACACTTCTTCAGTTTCCGCAGATTCTGTTGGTTTCTGAAACTTTCCACACTTTCGAAACCACAGAAGAGGCCCAGAAAAACGAGTCCTGCACCAGCCTCGAAGGCTTGCTGGTCTGGAATCAGGAACTGATTGTGAGAAAAATTACCATCTGAAGGAAGAAGACTGGGAAAGAAATGCTGAACGATAGTTTCGGCCTCAGCGGTCGTGCCCACAGACCAGAACACACAGGTGCAGGAGTTGTTAGTTACTAGAGTGCTAACACTGTGTTACTCATGTAGTTATTCATCAATGACGTAACAGTATTCTACGGTAGTCCTGCATAACCAGACCGTTGACTCTCTCTATGGCATGACATCTGAGTCTGACACAACCTGCCCTCAGACAACTCAATGATGTCAATCAGATGGTCTCTTACTGTCTGAGTGAGTGGTTCTTGATCAAAAGATGAGCTGACACGTCATGCATACTGTGTTTTGGCATCTGATAGAGCATTTGGACCCAGAAACAGTGAGGCATGCATCAGACTTAACCAGCGGATGGAAGCTTCTGTCACGAAAACAAATTCCTTGTATGTGTAAACATACCTGGCAATAAAGCTCATTCTGATTCTGATTCTGATTCTGATATCAACATGCATCTCCCATGAGCACCTGTGACGCTCATTCATCACTGACAGTGTTACTGTGTTACTGCAGGCCGATGGAGCAGATCTGCTCTTCGATCTGAATCGATTAGCTGTGTTAACGTGATCTACATTTACACTTCTATCTGAAGTGGATTTTCTGCGTCACTGCATGTCCTAGATGTTCTGTGACTGACTGATAGGTTAGTGTGTGTACTACATGCACTTCCCTGTTTACACCTGTGTTTACACTGTTCGCTTGTGATCTGAACACTCATGACGTGAATGGATCATATGCCTTCCTCATTCTTATGTTTGCTCAGGTGATTACTAATGCTTTTGCTGCCTTACAAACATAGCTATTACAGCGGCTGCAGCGGATCCACGTGCCACTTATCAAATATCAGAAGGGAATCTAGCAGTGGCACAGGTCTGAGCCTCAATAAAGACACACGGCAATGCAGAGCTGTACTACATTACTCCTTATAAGTTACTCCTGGAAGTGAATGAAACTTAGAAACTTGCAATACATTGAATTACACAATAGACATATCAGATTGTTTGTATGTGTGTTTTTATTTTTATTTTTTACTTTACATGTCTCTCTGTGTTCGTCCTGTTTCTGTACCTAGTTGATTATGGCTGTAAAAGCCCTTCATATTTACACAAAGGCCAGTTTCAGAAAGGTGGAAATCCTCCTTACTGTCGCTTTAAGGGAGACTGGAGCCGCTAACAATGCCTTATTCATCAGCGGTGGACAATTACATAACTGAACATGTTAACCTGAGTTCATACGCAAACACAACACACACACACACACAAAAGAAACAAGGATAACACATGCTAAAACGGTGTAGGGCTTTACTTTCAAAACACATTTGAGTGTGCTTCATGGCCTTACTGTTATGTGCACACAAGTGTTACCATTGTCTGTACTAATGTTACTGTTGTGAAACTCAACAAATCCCTGGTTATCTTGGGTCAAGAACTACAAGAGAGCCTTTCATGAGTAATTATGTCAAAACAGCATTTGTGAAAGTCTTTTATAAGCTTTTGACCAGATTCACACTCATACTCTTCTTACCATAAAAAAGCCAATTCTGTCATCATCTACTCACTGGTATGTCAGTCCAAGCCTCTATATGACTTGGAACTTTAACTTCAGCAAGTTGAATCACCAATTTTTTATTTATTTTTTTATTCTATTTTTTAACATGAAAGAGATTTATGA